TCGGAAACCCCAGAAACCGACTCGAACCAGGCCCTGTTCTGGATACATCAATCAATAAATTAAATGTGTGGTGGAGACTTTGTCTACCTTATGTTTCGACGATGCCGTCGTCATCAGAGGTCTGAAAACGGTTTGTAGGCTTTTTGCAGGCTTTTCACCATTCCTTTGAGCCCCTATTCCCGCTCTGTCAGTCCAAACCTGTCCAGTCGCAGCATGAGATTCTCAAAGCCACAAAACGAACGAATCTCGACTTCACCGGCTAGCGACAAGCCCGCACATTTGGTATAACGGACTTCACTAAGTGTTACCCATTGAGACAAATCCTTTTACGTGCAGCACTAAGCCTATATAACGAAATGGATGGAGCCAAGTCAACAGAGCCATATAGAAAACTGAACGGCATTTGAACTGTGGGAAGATGTGTTGGCCTAGATGAGCCCATTGTAGCAATTTTTCAGGGATCCAGGAAAGTGGAAAATTCAAAAAAAAAACACAAATGATGCTATAGCGACTCTTTTTTTTTGTCAGCATTTCATACCTTTTCCTACCTCCGTAATGTCCTATTTATTGCCATTCTGACGAGAAAGCTAACAAAAGGAGCTATACGTTCATTCAGAGTGCGGTGAACTCTGGCCTCTCAAAATCTAGCCCTTCAACTGAGTATACTGTCGTCAGCGAAAACAAGCAAAAAAGTTTGAAAAGTTCATTGAAATCGCAATTATTAGTACATCATGCGAATATCTAATAATTCATTCGAATAGTACAAATTGTTATTGAATATTCTTTAAGTGCTTCATATGTTAAACCCGATAAGTTATATATAAGTGAAGGGTTACTTATTAGGAATGAAAAGGTTACACAAAAGAATAAGGTTCATTAAACAACAGAGCTTAATTCTTGGAAATGTTGAAAAAGGAATACAAACAATTTTCATCACAAAGGGGTAACTGTTTGGTTTAAGTGAACTCCATCATTGATTATGCTTCAGAAATGTTCTAAGATTGAAAATTATAAAAACCTATAATTCGCAGTGTTTGACGTAACTGTCGATAGAGCTAATGTCTCTCAAAGTAAGTGTGGCTGCTCTTTTCGCTATAATTTTATCGTTCTCAAGGCGTCAGCTTCAAATATTTCAAGCAAAACTTCAGTTCCGCTATTGAAAGGGATTTTGGTGGCTCCATCCAGGACCAAAAATCCCTTCGAGCATTTGGACTTCAGACGAATGCGACGTGCGAAACCTCGAACATTTGTGCGTTTGAAGGTGGCATTGAAAATCGGCTCGCGAATGGAGTAGGCAAAATCTAAAAAAATATCATCTTCAGTAATTTTAGTAACAACATTGATTATTTGACTCACTAGGATGGTCCGGCTCGAATGTAATTTTGTCATTCATTTTCTTTGCAATTTCTTCGGAAAGCTCTTTTACATTTGCTTTGACCTCTACTCCCATACTCTGCATGGCTTCCAATATCGCCGAAACAGTTTGCTCTTCGACTCTATTCATTCCATAGTACCTGAAAAAAATGGAAGTAAGACCATATCTTGTTTTGAAAAAATTTTACTAAATTTGTGAGTTGATCTACATAATTTAGACCACATAGACGGGGGAGGGGAGAGGGTTCTACACAAGTTATAAAGTGGCGCTGCTGAATTGTTCATACTTTTC